AATCCTCAGTTTGGCTAAATGTACTGGTGTACAAGCATGGCCAATTCTAAGTCTACAAATAGTTGATGTTGACTGTTTGTTAGCTTTATTAAATTTGAAAAACCATGGTTTTGGAGGGATGGTACATTGTATAGCAGCATAGTGTTTACCTTTTATATTTTGAGTGGTTTTCCATAATGTGTTCCAATTATTACTTAACTTCTTCTTTGCAAGTAACACTATGTCTGAAGAGTAAATTAAATTACATGGCAAACCATTTCGACTTGCATTTTTAGCCATCAGATCAGCTGTTTCATTGCCCTTAATGCCACTATGACCTGGAATCCAAGCTAAGGAAACCTGAATGCCCTTGAGATGACATCTATACAATGTGTGTTTAATTTTGAAGATCAAGGGTAACTTATATTTACTTTGGAACTGGTTTGACAAAATTGCTAACAAACAGCTTTTGGAGTCGGTAAGAATAACTGACTTATTTAAGTTGTGTGCTTCTATATAAATCAAAGCTTCATAAATTGCCGTGGCCTCGCCAGTAAAAGTGGAAGAAATAGAAGGGCATTTAAAATTGAGGATTATTTTGTATCTGGGAATCCAAACTGCTGCTCCAGTGCAACTTTCACCTGACTTTTTGGAGGCATCAGTGTATATAATAAGCCAGCCTTTCCATAAATTATCTATGACTCTACTTAGTTTACTATTTGCTATAGGGCAATCTTTCTCAATACCAAGGTCGAGGTGGATATTTGGTTGGAAAATATCTATATATAATATGGAAAATATATGGGATATCAAAGATGGGACAGGACTTGCATTGTGATACTGGGTGTGGTAGATGGAGTAATGTTACCAAACTGTTGGATAAGCAGGGAAATTCTTTATGAGTCCAGTAATGCTTTGTTGAAATATATTCCAAAAGAAGGTGTAATTTAGAAATGAGAGGATGTGAAGAGAGTTGATAGATTTTAAAAAAGAATCGGTCCGAAAGATATTGTCTTCTTAGGTAAAGAGGGGGATCTACACATTCGACTTGGAGAGCATTTATTGGGGAAGATTTCATTGCCCCAATGATTATACGAAGTCTTTTCGTCTGAATCCTGTCTAGGATCTTTAGAAAAGACTTATTACATGGTTCCAAGACAAAGCACGCATAATCCAAATGACTACGAATAATTTTTTTGAGACATAGTTGATATGATGAGAAAAGGTTAGTTTGGAGTCAAGAATAACTCCCAAAAATTTTACATTCTCCCTAATAGGGATAGGTTCATTATTAAAGAGAATGTCGATTTCAGGGAGTTGCTTATGGCGAGAGAAGATGACAACACTGCTTTTGGGAACAGACAAGGACAAACCATGATCAGTTAACCAATCTTGTAAATAGGACATTGATAGATTCAAGCGGGAACAAGCTGTAGCAAGGTTATCCAAGGAAATATATATAGTTATATCGTCTGCATATTGGAGGATGTTACAGAATGAGTTAACAGAAAGTTCTAGATCATAAGTATAGATAGAATAGAGCAAAGGACTAAGTACTGAGCCTTGTGGGAGACCCTTCCATACAATTCTTGGCGGGAGTAGAGAATTTTGACTATCAATATAAATGGATCTAGAAGAGAGAAAGTTAGAGACAAAATTTACTATCCTCACTGGAATACTCAAATTAAGCATTTTTTGCCTGAGCACAGGAAGAAGTACATTATCATATGCAGACGAGATATCTAGAAAGACACCAACAAGGTATTCATGTTTAGAGTAAGCTATACGAATATCAGTAACTAGAGTACTAAGGCTATCCATGGTGCTTAAGCCCTTTCGGAATCCAAATTGGCTTTTTGCTAGAAGGTTTTTGCTTTCAAGAAACCATTCTAGACGATTTTTTATTAGGTGTTCAAGAATTTTGGCCATGGTACAAGAAAGAGCAATAGGGCGGTAGCTTGAGGGATCAGTGTGAGGCTTACCTGGTTTGTAAATAGGTAAAATAACTTGGGATTTCCATTCTTCAGGAGGAATACCGGACATGTAAATACAATTTAAAATAGAAAGAAGATGGGCTTTAGTAGATTCACTGCTATTAGTAATAAAAAAATAAGGAATTCCATCAATTCCTGGTGAAGAATCATTAAGGACACTAAGAACAGCATATAACTCCTCATAAGAGAAAGGGGAGTCAAAACTGTGTTGATAGTGCAAGGACTGTGATTGAAATACTATACTTTCATTGTAAGATGGTACTGATGGAGGAGCAAGATTACTAGCAAAATTTTCAAGCCAATAAGACTGATCATTAGAAATTGTGTTTTCAGAGGCCAAAACTGAACATCGGAATTTTTTAATATTTTTCCAGACTAATTATGGATGAGTCCTAGGCGACAGTGACTCACAGAATTTAACCCATCCAGCCTTTTTCTTCCCAGATAATAATTTTAATGTTTCAGCAGCAGTTTTTTTATAAAAAATATAGTTGTCAAAATTCATAGAGAGGGAATATCTTACTTCAGCTTCCTTTCTCTTCTTACATGCTACAGAACAATCTTGATCCCACCAAGGTGGTGAAGGAGCATTATTTTTATAAGGTTTTTTGATGGGGATTGTCTTATTGGCAGCAGATAAAATAGCATTTTTAAAAGTAGAATACACCTGAAGAACATTATCTTTCTGAACAGGAGGAAGGGCTGATAGTTCTTCCTCTAGAACTGTGGAATATAGTTGCCAGTTTGCTTTGGATGTGTTATATTTTAACCTAGGATTAAATGGAACATTGACTGTATAGGAGCTAGGGGGATTAATAACAATAGGGAAATGATCACTGCCATGGGAAAAGGGTAGTATTCTCCAAGAAAGAAGGGACGACAGGGCAGGGGAACAGAGTGACAGATCTACTGCACTTTTAGGATTTTGGAGGGGGGATACTCTACGTGTAGGTGAACCATCGTTAAGGAGGCAGAGATCTAAATCATCAATGATGTCTAAAAATGTAAAAGACCAGGGATCACAAAAATGGGAGCCCCATAAAGTATGGTGCATATTAAAATCACCAAGAATTACCATAGCAGGAGGGATGGAGGATACAATCCTCGTAAGTTCTGACAAGATATTTAAACTAGGTTCGGGAATATAAATAGAGAGAAAAGAAGTGTTATGAGCTCTAACTGCTACAGCATTAATTGAAGGAAGGGAAATTAATGTATAAGTAATTGATTTTGAGATAAGAATGAAAGAGCCAGCATGACCATCATGCCTATCATCCCTGAGGCATGAATAACCTGAGATCCTAAAATGGGACCCAGGCTTAAGCCATGTCTCTTGGATGGCTATGATGAGGGGATGGTATTTATTAATAAGGTAAATTAATTCATTTTTCTTATTATTAATGCTCCGGCAGTTCCACTGAAGTATTGGAGGGAAGGTTATTTGTTAATGAAATGAGCTCAGTAAGTTTTTGGCGGAGGGCAAGTGGGAGATCCATATCGCTGAAACGGGAAAGCATACTTATAAGCATGGAGATCATTAACTCACAGAGATTGTCATTAGGGGAAATACTCCGCCCTATTAAAGCACTACCATTAATAGTTGAAGAAGAAGGGGTCTCTATTATTGCCTCATGGGCAGATTTATCATATCCATGACTTGATGCTGGATTTGGCGGAAGTCTTGGAGTAAATGTAGTTTTCCTGTAAGAATGAGATTGTGAGGGGACAACTGAAGGTAAAGTGGAATTTGAAATAGGATAGAGACTCTGATGATCATACGAAGGAAGGATTCTAGCAGCATCTGCATAAGATCTTCGGACTTGAGGGAAACGGGCAGATGCTTCTAGATAGGAAATATTTTCCTGTGACATGATAAGTTTGATAGATCTCTGCCTAGAGTGTTCAGGGCAGGAAGGATCTTTAGCCGTGTGAGATCCTGAACAAAATAGGCAAGTGGGAGACTGTCTTGTGCATGATATTCCTTCATGATTTTGAGCACACACAAAACAACGGGAAGATGACCTACACTGTGAGGTTACGTGTCCAAAACGACAACATTTGTGACATTGATTAAGAGGTAAAATGTAGGGCTCAACAGGCATTGAGGTGAAAAAACAATAAATGTTAGAAGGAAGTTTCTAGCCGGAAAAAGTTAAAACAACTGTTTGAGAGGGAATCCACACAGTACTTTGGTTTTCATTAACTGACTTTCTATTAAATCGGCGAGCTTTAATAATTGAGCCAAAACCAGCTGGGACCTCGATTGATGATATGAGTTCCTCTAATGTCCACTCTACAGGGACCTGCCTCACTATTCCCATGCGTGTGACATTATAGGAAGGGATTACAGTATCATATTTAGCACCTGCAAGGGCTGGGTTCTCAATAAAACAATTTGCATCAGCTGCACTTTTAAACTCGACAGAAATTCTATTGCGTCCTATTCGCTTAACACCATCACTAATAACATTTTTAATATTATTATGGTAGAGAAAATGACCAAACTTTATCGGTTTTAAAACTACTCCAGTTGATAAATCATCTACTCTCTTACTTACATGAACAATAAACGGCGCATTGTCGTTATTAGAATATTTATGTTTTTTTTCTATGTAGTCAGGATGGGTATAAGAGGTCTGAATAGATGGTACAGGTTGAGATGGATCTGTAATTAGTCTTTTCTGAGGAAGAGCTGAGTTATTGGTTACTTGCAATCTTGTACGCTTCGACTGATCAATTTCGATAGGCATATTATTATGTTTTTTGGTAACAGTATGGGAGTCACATGGAACCCCGTCGGGATCGTGAGGATCTTCCTCCATTTTATTTTAACTAATTACATATAACACAGCACAATTACTAAATACTTACGGATTTATAACTACTAAAACCAACACCAATAGAAATAATAAACAAAAAAGTAAATCAACAGCTCTCAGAATAAGAAATAGCCAAAAACACAATGACACTTGTACACCTCACACCACTCCTCCTACACACTCCAGATAAATCAGTATAAATGTTTTCGTGTCTTTCCAAACCATGAATGCTACGTCATTTTTCACTCTCCATATATATTGTCCTCTTGTAAGTTTTAGTTTCTCTTTCCTTTCTTTTTATCATTTTTAATGGGTTTCATAAACTTTGGTAAATCCGCTCTGTTCAAAGGAGAATGCCAGATTCTCTATAGAATTTTGCCCCACTCAAAAGTGTGATGGACACGAATGTCGTATACAACATTTTTTTTTACTTTATTACTTCATCCTAATTATATAATTTGAGGTCTCTAGAACTTGCGATTTTTTTTTTTAAACTGGACTTTAATAATTACTTTTACCTTATTTTTTAGAACAGCATTCGTTGCAGTGCATTGTAATTTCGGGATATAAATTGTCAGACGCTAATGATATATATAAATAAGAATTTAAGGAGCATAATAATATAATGATCAGTAATATTGGAAAAAGGGTTCTCTTGTATAGGATCTAAGAAGTCCTTACACAGACATTTAAGTAGTAGTAGTAATAGACCGGACATCAGTAGCAAAATTGTCGTCTGTAACTTATGTCCTATCACAGATGACAGTATACCATAGATAAATATATATGTAGCAAGCTACTGTTGTATACCAGTCTACGACAGATAGGACAGTGGTATGGTTGACGATTAGTTCCAAAAATATAATTGACGTTTCTGTAGTTGATGGCTCTGATCCTACCAAAAAAATTCTCGAGAGGATCCTGATTTACATTTCTAGGATAAAAATATTGTATGTCATATTTTTCGAACAACAGTTTAGACAATCTTTTAAAACTTTCTATTGTTGTAACCCATCCATTAAGAGAAGGAACTCGAACCTTATAGGTTTTGTTATTTTTGCAGGCTTTCTTGCTACTTTTGTCAATGAACTGAATATTTTTTAATATTTGTTTTGCTTCAGTCCAAAAATTATAGATTTGATGGGCGTTCGGCTTTATTGGACCACACAGTTTGCCCTGGATAGTGCTCCCTCGAGATCCGTTCATACTATCAAAGAGCTTATCAATAAATTCTACAGCTTCACTTGTTGTGGCCATTGTCTCACTGACTTTTTCACCCAAGGTTGTAGTTTCTGAAATATTACATAATTGTATATAAGTATTACACATAAAGAAACAAAACAACAAACAAAAACAACAAAGTGTTTCTATCCTATCATTACATTAAATTGAATCAAACATTCTTATCAGTCTTAAAGGCTAGATTGTAAATAAATTATTAAGAACCTAATTCTTTTTATAAAGATTAAATATAAGGTGTTTCTTTTGTTGGAGACTAAATAAATAAATAAAACTGCAGTGAAGTGAGTGAATGATTAAGAGGATTATTATTTAATTAAGACTAGCTGTTTATAACATCAGCTATCTGACAGTGAAAGTCCTGTCAAATCGGTCCAGATGTTTTGGAGATCAGCGGGAATGAGTAGAAAGATGGACAAAAAATTTGAAAATTGTTTTTTGTTATAATTACGGTATTAACTTTCGTATGCATTTAGTAAAAAGACGTTATTTCGTCATAACAAACAGACACCCACCTCAATTTGATTTTTTGTATAGATTATAGATTACTTGATAATACATATTGATAACAAAGTAAAAACGTACTGAACAATGCAGTGTATTTTAGCATTCCACTGGTGGTTGTACTCAGAGTTAGGGCTGCTACACTAACTTTCATCTTTTTCATTTTTGCAGCGTAAACATGGTGTTCTGTTAGCTTTTTATGGATTCTAGTATGATCTAGTTGGCAATCAAAGTCAAATACAGTTTCTATGTCCTTCCAAGTTGCAACTTTGCCTTTGAAAAGCATGTCTTTTGTAAGGAAGTTGTTTCTAAGGCCCTTAAGTAAGTGCGACGGATCAAATACCACACTTAACTGTTATGTATCTAAAGTTTAGCTAGTATTTTATACAGTTAAACATAAATATTGATGAAAAATTGAAAAGAAAAGAAGAGGTTTATGAACTTATATCTACATATGATGAATATCGACAAATTTACACAGATGGTTCAAAAGTTGAAAATAAAGTAGCCTGTGCATTTTACATACCTCATCTGAAAACTGGACGTGGCCTTTCCATTCCTGCATTAGCAAGCAATGTGCAGACTTAGATTTGGCCACTATCGACTGAACGCTCATCTTTCCAGGATGAGAATAGTAGCATCTGCAACATGCAATTTCTGCGATACAGAAGCAGATCAGACTGCAGAACATATAATATTTAACTGCCCAGCGTACGCCATAGAAAAATTGCTACTCATTGAAAAACTTATACAAGTTTATGAAAACTCAGAAAGCGTCCTGCGTGCCCTGCAAGATGTTCTTAGGAATACGAAAACATATTTAGCACTTTGCAATTTTATTCATAATACTGTAAAAGAAATATGAAATATGGTATCCCTGTTTTTGAAAATATTGGATTGACAAATCTACATGGATTGAAACCTACAAAGAGTATAATATAAAGAAGACTTGGCTTTAGCCTTTACGGGTTTTTGAAAATATGAAGAATTAAAGAAAATAAGACTTGACTACGGCCTTTATGGATTTTGAAGAGATGGAAAGAAGAAAAATAAGACTTGGTTCCGGCCTTTATACTCTAAAATTCTATATATTCAAAATAAAAAAGACAAGGCTGTATGGCTTAGTTCCTTTGCCTGCTCTCTCGAGCGAATAATAAAAACAACAACAACAACCAAGTTAGATTACTGTATATATTGGATAACTTTATAAATATGATAAGTAACGAGTAATTAAAAATAAATAGGAGCCAAGTTTTAAAACATAATTCTAACTATGGAATGGTTAGGCTCAACAATTTTAAAAACGTTTTGGAGGCCAAGTGTTAATGTAGTAAGGTTATAAATTTGCTACGAATAGTGAAGTGAGTACACAATATTTTAAATAATTTTTATGTACCAATTTTTATTTTTAGAACGAGGTACCATGCTGATAAAACTAGACTTGTAAGACGGCATGGATATGAAGAGAAAATTTGGTGTGGGGGCTTATTACCTCGAACAGTGGGAAAACCATTACCAATTCCTGAGTACAGGTTTGAGATTGATTTTACTTTGCTGTTTTTCTTATTCTAATCACCTATTATATGCAGATGATAAAAAAATATACCGAGCAGTTTGTTCTATTGAAGATTGTACAATGTTACAATATGATTTGGATTTTCTTTGTTATCAACAATAAGGTACTACGTGAATATTATAAAATTACAGACTAAGCTTTATGCGCAAAAAAGCCCAATTGTCTTTCCTTTTAATTTTAATAATCAAATATTTATTTATTTATTTCGACCAGCAAGGATCATAGGGTAATATTACATTCATTCAAGTTAATTCTAATACTAAAATTATTACTCATTACTAAAATTAATATATCAAATGCATAAGTATTCATAATAATATTGAAAATATAATAATTATTTAATATTAACAAAATAATGTAAACGTAACTCACAACAGACCCGACTTAATAATATATTAACAAAATCATAAGCATAACTTATATTAATGATATAATAATAATAATTAATCATTTATTGCAGACGATAATTTGTTAAAAGTAGATAATAAAATTAAATAAAAATTACTTCATATATCTGGGTTGCCTGTCCGAGGCAACGGATACATGGACATGAACATGCATCCAGTGCATCAAAAAAGTACAATCGGGTTTCTCGCTAATTACGTTAAGAATGCTGTTGGCGCTCCCACGAACCCTGTGCATCAGTGACGCAGTTTTTTTGCGAATCAGTTTTGAAAAATGGTCTATGTGGGCGTCAACAAACATACCTGATGCACTACAGTGACGTGGGAGCCCCAGCAACAATCTAAAAGCGTTATTATAATGTATACGTAGGGTGTTGTATGCCCGCTGCGTAAATCTGACCCATAAGGCGCACGTATAGAGGGATTGGCAATAGGCCTTAAATAAAATAAGTTTTACCTCGACTGTACAACGTAAGAACCGGCGGGCCAGCATATTGCAGCGGACAGCCAGCGCCCTCCTTTCTCTTTCAATATCTTTATCATCTTTTAAATCTTCGGTAACCACATGGCCGAGGTACTTAAATTCGGTTACTCGTTTAAGTGTAACACCCCCTAAAGTTACAGGTGGTACGAAATTAGGTTTCTTCGTGCCCACCTTAAACACCATGAGCTCACTCTTTGCAACATTATATTTTAAACCGTGGGCTTCTGCATAAACCTCACATATGATCAAAAGCCGTCTGAGTGCACTGACTGACGGGCTCAGAAGCACCATGTCGTCTGCGTAACTGATATTGTTCATGCAGAGTCCATCAATAGAGCAGCCGACATGTGCACTCCCGAGTCTATGAATCAGTTCATTTATATATAGATTAAAAAGCGTAGGTGAGGTTAACCCCCCTTGCCTCACACCGCATTCTAACCTATACTCGTCCGACAGTGCATTAGACCACCTAACCTGATTGATTTGATGACCGTACCAATAGCTAAAAATGCTAATGTACGAGACGGGTAGACCAGCCTTTCGCAATTTATCCCACAGAATGTCATACCTGACAAGATCGAAAGCCTTTGAAAGATCCAGGAAGGCCGCATACACTGGCGTATTCCTTACAGTGTAATACCCCACAATGTGCTTCAGCGACAGTATTGCACACTCAGTGGATAGATTTGGTCTAAAACCAAATTGTGCATCATTTAACTTAATATGTACTTTTAACTGTCTCTCAAGCAGATACTGTCAAGTATCTTAGCCGCAGTTGTCGCTAATGAAATGGGCCGATAGTTGCACATATCCGAAATATCGCCGGTTTTGTTTTTCAAAATCGGTACCACGACCGTTCTCATTAGCTCTTCCGGCAAATAAGAGTGCCTCACGCAGAGGGTGAAAAAGAGCGCCAGCAGTCTAGGTAAGTGCGGTCCAGCATGTTGAAAGTGCTCGATGCTAAGCCAATCGTGACCAGGTGACTTTCCTCCAGTCATGCCATTTACCAAAACAGTGATGTCCCTCGCGGTGATGCGATCGGGCACATGAGTTGGTGCACCAGTCTGGTGATGAATCTCAGCATCGACTTCAATAGGTGACTGTAAAGAAGACTGAACCCGGAACTGACTCTTAAAAAGATTGGCTATTTTTGTCGGCTCATTCACACCCAAATATTACAACAGGTCAATGATGTACGTGATCTAGGAGTCTCTTGACTCCAGCAACTCTTGAGACACATAAAAGTTTGGTCGGTCTGTCGGAGCGAGAGAAAAATCGGAGGTTTTAGACAATATTGACGGTGCTACAAAAGAAGTCAAAAGATAAATCTTATTACATGTTTTTAGAGTTTTTTTCCTCTGTTGCAAGTGCCAAAAACACAGAATCCATTGGCAACACTGCTGACTTAGAAACATAGCAATACTTAAATAATAAAGATACCAACTAACAGCACTTAAATGCTTATCCTACAATAACCCCTGTGGAGCAACTCTTCTCATTCATCATGAGACCTCATCAAAGAAAAAGGAGTGATAAACTGTTTGAAGTACTGGTTTCACTTAAATCTCAATTAAAACCTTAAAAATATAATATTCTGTTGTGTCATGCTTGCACAATCAATGAGATTTACATGTAAAAACAATAAACTCATTAAAAAAAAATGTTGTTTTTTAAAAAAGTATTTTATCTAAAAAAAGTATCCAAAAGATATGTATTTTATGTCTAGTATTTCAGATACCATTCCAGAAAGTTATTTGCATCTGGTATCTGAAATACTTAATTTAAAAGTATTTTGTATTCCAGATACTTTATTTAAGGTATCTTGTACATCACTGGTGATCGCTACCAGTTTTCACCCCCGCGATCACTGAACAATTGCCGGCCTAGTCGTCATTTTTTGTCGACCCCGACAGGGTCAACCAGGTTCACTTCCAGGAAGAATAAGTTCATCATAAACAGTCCCTCTTTCTCCATGAAGTGGGCCAGCAGCTGGTCCCTTGGGTTCCGTTGCCCTATTCCAAATTTCCCTACTCTCAGCTCACCATTCTCTCTTGTGCCTAGTTTTGCGTTGAAGTTTCCCATTATCACCGTTTAGTGGGTTTTGGAGGAATGCATGGCTTTAGAGATATCCTCATACATGTCCTCCACCCCCTCATCGAGATGTGCAGAGGTTGGCTTGTAAACCTGTATAACCTTAAACAAATACTGTTTGGTGATACTGAATATAAGGTATGCAACCCCCGTCGACACACTCACAATCTTTAAAATATTGTTAGCAAGAGGCTTGTGGACGATTAATCTGACACCTCATTGGGACAGATGGTCGCCCTCCCGGTGATAGAACAAGTTGCCGGATTTCAGGATTACAGTGTCCTCCCCCTCCCTTTGGACCTCAGATAATCCTTTAATATCCCAGCACAACTTATGATAGATAAGCTATCTTATGTATCTATGATAGATCTTCTTCCAGCAGCACGATTTTCTCGTCAGTCCTCAGAGTGCGTGCGTTTGTTGCCAGATCGAGTCGTCTTAGGTGGCAATCTAACCTACACCGGAGATTCTTAGCCCCTCTGCCCCGCCGTTACCATGGTCACCGGGGACTGGGGGCCGTCTTTTTGTAATTTTCGTCATGGGGGGTATATTGCCATAGTTGCTACGCTTGGCGAGCGCGTTGGCAACGGCCGTTTTTTTTTAAATTATAATTTGCTGTGATCAGAACGATGCTGCTGCCCATCTTGTCTCAGTTTCCCTCTGTCATCTCTTACGACACTCATGGGAAGATATGGGGTAGTACCCACTCTTCTTACCCGCCATTACACAGGGCGATATTTGTTTATAAAGTGTTTTATATTCTTTGATACTCTGATTCTTGGCTAACCTGCAGAGAATACAAATGCAGGAGTCTTGGCTCTGTACTCTTCAACTCACTTGTTCAGGGTAGTGAGTGTGAACAAATCTCACTAGATGTTTACCTATGTTTCAAGAATAACATATATTTCTATCAGTTAAGTTAAAAAAGCTAATGATTGGCATTTAATGATTATTTAATAATAATGATTTAATGACATTAAGATAAATGAGGACAGGCTACTTATATTTGTATCATGCTACTTTGGATTTTCAGACCTGCAAATGTGTGGACTGAACGTAAAGCATTATTTGGTCAAAATGACTACATTGATATTTTAGGACCTGGCAATCTTCATCCAGTTAAAACACTTTATAATGTGCCTACGTGGATAAGAGGAGTTAGTGGACATGAGTATCATGTAAGTGTTAAATGTTATTCAATTTGTGTAAAATTGTAATTGGTACTAAATTTACATCTTTAATTTTTTTAACATAAGTATTAAAAAGATATTTTGTGCAGGATCGGTGATAAATCTTAAATATTCTGATCCTTATCCTATCCTACCAAAGTCGAATATATGTGTTTTGAGCTCATAATATTATACCACACATTTGCCCGTGTGTAATTTAGGGTTTTAATTTTTTACACAATAAAGGTGACAAACAAGCACACAGTCCACCTGATGGTAAGTGGTTGCTGCGGCCCATAGACATCTACATCTATCCTCTATTACAAATCAAAATGTAGATGCGTTATCACCCGTGAGGACTAAGATGGAATGCCTCATTTCCAGTAAAAAGGGCCTCCGGCCACCTGTTGAATTTTCCATTCCATTGAACCATTTCATTGAACCTTCTTAACTGTAAACTCTATGATTATCTTGTATAATGCATTATTCGAAATGCCCAGGCTGAAATGACAGGGAAGAAAAGACAATTGTATAATAAGACTAATTTTCTTTGATAAAAACAATGGTAAACCAAATATTGGAAATAATCAACCGCTAAGTTTTTCTTGAAATAACCTTATTTGTGTTTCTGGTTTATTCTCACTGTTGATGTATTTGTTATGTTTGTTACAGATTCTCCTTAGAAAGAAGAAAATGTTTGCTAAAACTGGTTCACCAAAGATAAGACCAACCAAGTGGAAGGAACTAGAAAAACGTTTATCATTTTTGTACAGAAAACTTAATAGAAAGACTAAAACTGGTCCATCTCCAGATTGAATTTTTGTGTTGCATTAAGAATTTATAGAAAAATGTAGATTATGTAAACAATATGAATAACACTGTTATTAAATATTATGTTTAAAGAATTTGTTTAACTGAGTGGGGAAGGGGTTATTCCTTTTGATATGTTTGGCCTTTTAAATACTATATTGAATAGCTAGTAAAATAACACATATGTTACAGCCTTTACACTATTATGTGAATGTGAGACCAAATAATAAACACCTTTACTACCTGATACATGCTTAAATTACTTTTACTCAAGGTCTGTAATGTACAAACAACCTTATTTTCTGATGAATCCACACAGTAAATCAAATAATGCTTGTAGTGTCAAAGGCAGTAGGATGATAATTATAGTGATCAAACAAAGAGGCTTGAACCATATTGGAGCAGCCATTACAACTGCTCATTTGCCCTTTTCTCCCCAGATTTTTACCTTGATAGCTTCCTTTAGGCAATCTTATTATAGTGTAACTCTCTATTAATGATAGTACTTTATACTTGTGATCTATTAATAAAATTTTCATCACAATCTTTCACGCGTACTTATAAAACCTTGGCTGTGAACTCCGGCTAATTCCAACACCATAAATTTCTTACCCAAGCATGGCAACAATGGCAAATATTCACCCTTCTTGGCAATCAATGGGGTGGCCTATGTTTATCAGTGGAATTTCGATGTGTTGTGATTTGTAATGAATGATGACCAATAGCAATAACACACTTTATGGGTGAAGTTACAAGTCAGCAATAGCAATGCACTCACAAAGCGATGTAAGTAGAAACAAATACTAAAGTCAAAGATGTTTTATAGGCCCTATATATAGGACCTATAAAACATCTTTGACTAAAGTTAAAGTAAATAAGTAGTGTGAAATAAAACAACCTTCTCAATGAAAAGTTTTAATTTCAGTGCTCTGGTCTTACAATAATAATTTGCTAATGACTAGTTCGCCAAAGTGTTCTAATACTTATTTAACAAATAATGTGATGCAATGGTAACATACAGATGATTGCTTTATAAAATTATGCTATAACTATATAACACTTATTATTATAATTGACTATAGCGTCCCCAATCTTCTTTTAATAAATCTGCTGCTTTCTCGGCTATCATTACCACTGGTGCTAGAGTATGTGAAGCCGGAATACGTGGCATTATCGATGCATCAACTATTCGTAGACCTTGCACGCCATGAACCAATAACCTCGGAGAAACTACACCTGTGGGATCACCAGCTGGTGCCATTTTACAAGTGCCAACCTGCATCACATAATAAAATTACTGTTATTTCCCCTTTTACATTTTTTTAAAACTTATAAGAATGCGCGACTACTATCCCATCATGACGGTAAGTGGTGATATAGCCATAGATAGTAAAACACACTCATTTACCTTAACAAAAGCCTTTTTACTCCTGCCTTGAAGACACTCAAATTGTGATGGGATGGAAGGACAGATGCTGGTAAAATATTCCACTACTTTGCTATTTACAAAAGAACCAAGAAACCAAGTGTTACGAATAAAACTGTATGAGGCTATATTTGATTGTATGAATACTTTGAACGAGGCCTAAAATAACTACCAACTAAAAATAAGTGAAAGTATTAGGTAAGTAAGAAAGATTCTCTCCTATCCCGCAAATGAAAAAGTAAAGCTATAGTAGCATATAAATCGCATATACGTCGTTTTTTTCATAAAATGTTTTTAACAGTTTACAATAACATTACAAAGTTATAATGCAGCTAGTTTTAGGTCATTTTCTATGGAGTTGTAACGAAATTTTTACTAATCCTAGTGCATTTTATAAGTTGGTCGACTGTTACTCGTTAACCTCTTAATTGTACTTAGCTGTGATAGTTTTCCTTTTAATTTCGTTATATATGCTACTAATGTGTACACTTTTCACATTTCTAAAAACTGCGGTTCAGGTAGTAGAGGGGGGCGGGGACACATGACTAACGAAAAATACCACTTTATAGCTAAATATTTCGCAAACGGACCCCTGAATCGAAAAGATGTTCCACACCCCCATGTTTTTAAAATACCTATCCAACGATACCCCACATGATGAAATAGACGGATAAAAAATCAACCCCATTTACTTGTATGGGAAGTACAAAAAAAAACACTTTTTTAAGATATTATCTCACTGTTTTCTAGACGTGATTAATATCTATAACCATGCCAAACTACAGATTGTAGCACCTAGGGTCTCTGAGCAAAACTGGACGGACGGACATGGCGAAACTATAATTTTAGTTATATTTTAGTAATAATTAAAAATTATGTACAGCCGACTTCAATATAAGTTATTAAGAATAACTCAATAACTATTGGCCTGATCTTGATCAAATTCATATGGGACCACACGAGAAGTATCAGATTTCAAATAAAAAAAGAATCAACGAAATCGGTTCACCCAGTAAAAAGTTATGAGGTAACACACATAAAAAAACATTTGACTGTATGTTTTGTTGAGTACCGTCTCCTTTTTGGAAGTCGGCAGAAAAGGTATTTCATCTCGTTATTTGCCTCGTGCGTGCCGTAAGGGGCGACTTTATTCTTGTGGCCTAGTAAAATATAGCGGTATAACCATCTCGTATTATGCTAGATATAACATACTAACCCCCCGAATGTGTACCCGTCTTGTCATGGCGGGGGGCTTAGTAGCCGTGGCTTGGTCATCCGTGGTAAACTAAGAGGAACCCACATGGCTGCCCGAGGTGAAAGGCCGGCCCGAGGTAAAAGGCCAGCCCGAGGTGGTCACTTCGAATGGGCTTGACAAGCCCACTTCGGATATAAGTTGGTGGACTGCGGCAAGGGGGTGTTCTTTCTTCCTAATGCCGCTGCCGAGGTGAAGTCGGGGGACGAGAAGTGAGTGGCGATGCGCCACTCGCCCCATACTCGGCGACTGGCGGGGCCGCGCCGCTGATGCGGTAATGGTGGGGCTGCGTGGGGAGAAGAGTGCTGGTATTGCGAAGCACCGCTCTCCACAGCCGAAGCTTGGTTGTTGGCAGAGCCATCAGCCAGATCCACCACTGGGGTCAGAAAAGCGGATGCTACTGAGTGCTCGTTTTGTCCTGGTCCCATGGCCTCGGTGTATCGGGCGCGGAGGCGTCCGTTGCGCAGGTGGAGTTGAGGCCGCGAAAGAAGGTGCGCCTTGTATTTCTGGTGCGCCTTACTTGTGAAGCAAAAGGGATGTGTGCGAAAGCGTTCCCGTGGCTCTGCCAATATGCGGCGAAGTTGGGACACCATGGGGTTTTAGTAGATGTGAGTCTGACATAAACCGTCCTTGCCCTCGTAAGAAGGTATGCGTAGGTATTTCCCTTTGTAAAGATAATCTAAATATATTTAACAAAAGAGCCTGTAAAATTCCAACAAAAGCATTGCAGTTATGTATATAACATTTTAAATTTAATTTGATAAAATTTTTAGAATTATTTATTTATTTCGCCCTTGTAAGGAACTTTCGATGACACAGCTAAGCCCAATTTTTTGTAACGATAATAACTTAATTTTTGTATACGATAATATTCTTTAAATGCGTACAGGTATTATTTATGTAGAAACGACCGATAAAAGTAAAACTGCATAGTGTTATGTATTACATAGGCTGCACTAAAAGTATCGGGAATGGAATATTTCCACTGTTCCTGTCATATTAAAATCTTTTTAATTGAAAACCCCTTGGTTTTAATAATCGAATACCATTTATTTAAAAAAAGATTCATAAGGTTTTGTCAAACTTGTTTAGTCGTTGAGAAAATGGAATTGACTCGCGAAAATTAAAGAGCGATTTATTATGACTTTCGAAGTGGTTAAACACAAAAACAGTGTGTTGACCGGATAATTTATGCATTTGGTAATGAAGCCCCATCCAAAACTACAATTTATCGCTGGTTTGCTGAATTTCAACGTTGACGTGTCAAGCTCAGTGATGATCCCCGTCAAGGTCGTCCAAAAACTGCAGTAACCCAAGAAAACGTTGATGCTGTGCGTAAGTTGATTGAGGAAGATCGACATGTGACATACCGCGAAATTCAGGCAACTTTAGACATTGGCATGAGTCAAATACAAATAATCTTGCATGAACAATTAGGTGTAAAAAAGTTGTTTTCCCGATGGATACCGCATTCGCTCAGTGAAGAGCAAAAAGCGACTCGCGTTACTTGGTGCATCAGAACTCTCGAAAGATTCCACGCATGATCCTCAAATGCTGTATACAGCATCGTATCTGGTGACGAATCCTGGATATACGCGTACGAACCCGAAACAAAAAACCAGTCACGAGTTTGGGTGTTCGAAAATGAGTAAAGCCAACAAAAATTGTTCGTTCATGGAGTGTTGCAAAAAAAATGGTGGCCACGTTTGTCTCCAAAACCGGCCATGTTACGACTATTCCTCTTGAGGGACAAAGAACGGTTAATACAGAATGGTATGCTAGCATTTGTTTGCCACAGGTCGTTTCTGAACTCCGTAAAGAGAACTGCAACCGCCGCATCATCCTCCATCACGACAATGCGAGTTCTCACACCGCACACAGAACAAAAGAGTTTTTAGAGCAAGAAAACATAGAATTATTAGACCATCCGCCGTACAGCCCCGACCTAAGCCCTAATGGTTTCTATACTTTCCCTAAAATAAAGAATAAATTGCGTGGACAGAGATTTTCATCACCTGAAGAAGCTGTGGACGCCTACATAACGGCCATTTTGGAGACCCCAGCTTCCGAATGGAATGGTTGCTTCAATGATTGGTTCCATCGTATGGAAAAATGTGTCAAATTTCGCGGAGAATACTTCGAAAAGCAATAAATACATTTTTAAATAGTAATGTTGTGTCATTTCCTTGATTCCCGAAATTTTCAGTGCCGCCCTCGTATTCATGGGCATGTATTAGTATTGTTGTGGTCACGTACTTATATGTACGTACCTACTCCAGTACGTCTAGCAGTACTAGTGGTAACGTTTATGTTACCTTAGTCTAAATGAGAGGATGAGCATTATTTTTACTGCAAATGTAAACTTACTTGATGATCCAGAGTGATTGAAGTCTGCATAATAGCGCATTCCCAGTAATCATCCGAATCAAATATAAACTCTTCACATCCAGGAAACGGAACGCTATGGAGTCGTGTGGCGAAGCGTTGAAAGGCTTTTGTAGCGATAACATCTTCCACCTTATTAATAATAATATTTTTTTATATTTAATTTTATTAACGATGAATATACAGGTTTATTTTGCAACGGCCAAATTTGCAGAGAAGGTTCAGAATAAGTAATATAGACGACTGGTGAAGAATAATTTAAAAAATCTCCAACATTCTGTCCTTTTTATCTTTTAAATTTAGAATACGTAGTACGCATTATTTTAACTGATTGCCATTAATAAATATTTAACATCTACTATTTTACTACGCACGCATACATTCGTAAGCTTAGAATAATAACACCTATTATTCTAAGTTCGTAAGGATGAAATGCGTAGTTGTTGCCCATAAATCGACTTTCAATTTGGGATAATTTCTAAAACAAGTAGAATCCTTATTTACTTGTATTATGGTAACTGCAATAATGGTACCTATGTCATTATTTATTTATTTGAACTTAAGTATAAAATTTGGCTACTCTGAAAAATAACCCTGTATAAGAACTAGATTAAAGATACCTACGCAAAGTAATAACCACAAACTAATAAGAAGTGCTAGTGCAGTAATAACCCTGTTTATATTTTTTGGCGTCACGTGTCGGAGTAGCTCAGGGACTGGGCGCTTGCCTTGAATTTTACCAGTTTTTTTTTTCAATTTTATGTGCCTATTCCGTCCAAGAAATTAAAAATATATGGAGCATCAACTAAGGTTGCTAATGTTTTATGTCAAATATAGTAAGGAAGTCTCCACATTTATCGAAGCGAAATCGGCTTGAGCTGGTCAGAAAAATTTTTATGTCTACGAAATACGCTGTCGATAATGCTATTTAGAGATGCGCAAAACAGTGCGTTTTAAAGTGATGGAATATGACATTACGTTTCGTACCGAGGAATGTTACGTTATACCATTGATTTATGCCATGACTCCAAACATGACGCGAAATGACGCGCCACAGGATGACGCGTTGTAGAAGATATGCTTACATTGTGATGTGACAATGTAGGTACACATGATTTTGTTATCATATTCATAAAGTCGATTTTACACTTTATCCTAATCTACTGAACTATTCAATCAAAATGGCATTCCGGGCATAAGCCTTACCTTATGTTTTTTGTTAAGCGAGGTACCTACCTATTCCAACTTAGTCCTGAGGGATAACAACGCTTCTGCATTTGAGTTCTTAATCGAGGATAGTGTTAACTTGTATGTTTAACAAAATATGTTTGGCGACCGTAACGAGTATGTATTTACAGAGTTATAATCATTATAATCATCAATACAACCCTCTATAAGTGCGTATAATCCCATTGTATGGCTATTTCCAAAAAAACTCATTCAAAGGGATTATATGAACTTAGAGTATTGTATTGGTGATTTTAATGATAATAATTCTGTAAACACATACTCGTTACGGTAGCGAATTTTTTTTTTATGGGACAAGGGTGACAAACGAGCACACAGTCCACCTGATGGTAAGTGGTTGCTGTGGCCCATAGACATCTACATCTATCTTCGATTACGAATCAAAATGCAGATGCGTTGTCACCCGTGAGGACTTAGATGGAATCATATTTTGTTAAATATACAACCTATGCCAAGGCAAAGTCAGAGCACATAGGCAGAATTGGCGAGAAACTAGTTCGCCTTCCTTCGGGAACCCGTGCATTCTGGTCTCTCGCCAAGGCTGTCCAAGGGAATTTCTGTAAGCCATCACTACCATCTCTGCACAGGGAGGACGACTCACTGGCCCACGACGCAAAAGAGAAGGCCGACCTTTTAGGCTCCCTTTTTGCGTCCAACTCGACTGTTGATGACGGGGGGAACACACCGCCGACCATCCCGCGGTGTGAGTGCTCTATGCCGGATGTGCTATTCTCACAGCGCTCGGTTCGCAGAGCACTCCTCTCCCTTGACATCCACAAGTCGAGTGGGCCTGACGGAATCCCCCCAATTGTGCTGAGGACGTGTGCTCCGGAGTTGGCACCGGTTCTAACGCGTCTTTTCCGGTACTCCTACTCCCATGGCGTTGTCCCGAACTCATGGAAGACAGCTTTTGTCCACCCGATCCCTAAAAAAGGCGACCGCTCAGACCCGTCCAACTATAGGCCTATCGCGATCACCTCCTTGTTCTCCAAAATAATGGAATCCATTATTAACTGCCAGCTCATCCGGTACCTTGAGGATCACCAGCTGATCAGTGACCGCCAATACGGTTTTCGTCGGGGTCGATCAGCTGGTGATCTTCTAGTCTACCTGACCCATAGATGGGCGGAGGCAGTAGAGTCCAAGGGGGAGGCGTTGGCCGTTAGTCTGGACATTGCGAAGGCCTTCGATCGGGTTTGGCACAAAGCGCTTCTTTCGAAGCTCCCTTCCTATGGGCTTCCCGAGAAATTGTGCAATTGGATCACCAGCTTCCTTGCAGATCGGAGCATCAAGGTCGTTGTAGACGGTGCATGTTCTGACTACAAGCCTATTAACGCTGGTGTTCCACAAGGCTGTGTGCTATCACCAACGCTGTTTCTTCTGCATATCAATGATATGTTGCTAACTGGTAACATTCATTGCTATGCGGATGACAGCACTGGTGATGCTCTATACACCGGCCGGGCCAATATTTCTCGGGAAAACGTCGCCGAGTACCGGAACAAACTTGTGTCTGAAGTCGAGTCTTTGCTGGACAAAGTCTCGGATTGGGGGCGACTAAATCTAGTCCAGTTTAATCCTCAGAAGACACAAGTTTGCGCGTTTACCGCTAAAAAGAACCCCTTTGTCGTATCTCCTCAGTTTCAAGGCACTCCCCTTCTTGCCTCAGCCAGTATCGGTATCCTCGGAGTCGACATATCGAGTGACGTGCAGTTTCGTGGTCACTTGGAAGAGAAGGCCAAATTGGCCTCTAAAAAGCTTGGCGTGCTCAGCAGAGCGGGACAGTATTTCATGCCGGCACACCGCCTGCAACTTTACAAGGCGCAGGTTCGGCCTCACATGGAATACTGTTCCCATCTCTGGGCAGGGGCTCCCCAGTGCCAGCTCCTTCCACTTGACCGCATCCAGCGCAGAGCGGCTCGAATCGTCGACGACCGAGCCCTTTCCGATCGGCTCGATTCATTGGCACTGCGAAGAGATGTTGCATCTCTTTGCATTTTCTTTCGCATCTACCATGGGGAGTGCTCTGAGGAATTGTTCGGATTAATCCCAGCCGCCAAATTTCATGAACGCACATCGCGGCAGAACTCCCGATACCATCCACACCATCTGGATGATTGGCGGTCCACCACTGTGCGATTTAGAAGATGTTTTCTTCCTCGCACGACTTCCTTGTGGAATCGATTACCATCAGCGATTTTTCCGGACCGATATGACTTAGGGACCTTCAAGAAAAGAGCCTACTCCTTTTTAAAAGGCCGGCAACGCATCTGCAATTCCCCTGGTGTTGCGGTTGTTCATGGGCGGCGGTAGTCACTTACCATCAGGTGAGCCGCATGCTCGTTTGCCCCCTCTCCTATAAAAAAAAAAAAAAAAAAACCTGACCTTGACCTGCAAATTCCAAAAACGTAAGAAAATTTGAATTTCGCGGGCCACCCTGACGCTTGTTAATTAACAATGATTTATATAATATTGTATTTTAATGGCAACACTGCGTCGGTTGTCAACACTCTGTCTGTTATGAAGGAAGGTTCAATATGATGTTATAGGCTCTCCATGTTGTTGTTTTGAGGTTAATAAAAAGCACGTTTTCATCATCATCATCATCATCATTACAGCCCTTCACAAGTCCACTGCTGAACATAGGCCTCCCCCAAAGAATGCCACAAAACACGGTCCTGAGCCACCTGCATCCATCGACTTCCTGCATGTCTTACCAGGTCGTCACTCCATCTCGTGGGGGGACGCCCTACACTTCGCCTACCGGTACGAGGCTGCCACTCGAGAACCTTTCTTCCCCATCGGTTGTCGGTTCTTCGAGCTATATGGCCGGCCCACTGCCACTTCAGCTTACTAATGCGTTGGGCTATGTCGGTCACTCTGGTTCTACTGCGGATATCCTCATTCCTAAGTTTATCACGCAGAGAAACTCCGAGCATAGCCCTCTCCATAGCTCGCTGAGCGACCTTGAGCTTCCTCATACGGCCAGCAGTGAAGGACCACGTCTCAGTTCCGTAAGTCATCACTGGCAACACGCACTGGTTGTACAATTTCGTTTTAAGGTTTTGAGGTATGTCTGACGAGAAGATGTGTCGTAGCTTCCCGAACGCTGCCCAGCCGAGTTGAATCCGTCGATTGACCTCTCGGTCGAAGTTGGACTTACCCAGTCGGACTATTTGTCCCAGGTAAACATACTCGTCAACAACTTCGAGCTTAGTGTTCCCAACAACTACCGGCATAGGTGTGACATGGACATTAAACATGATATGTGAAAGCACGTTTTATGTTCATAGTATTATATCTTTAATTATCCCCATAATCCTTAACAGCGCTTTCACCTTAAGCCGATTCCGCGTCGATAAATGTGAAGACTCCCTAATTTTGAGGCAATTACCTATAAAATATTGGGTGGTGAAAAAAAACTACATTTTGTTGTGTTTCAAACTAACATTTTAACTCTTTAAAGTAATAATATTTATGTTGCTTTGAGCCTTTAATAGCAGCCTCTCCTCACGCCATGGTCAGACTTAATTAAAATTTAAAATCACTTATTAATTACTGCATAATTTAAACTTACCGAGCTATGCTCGGCGTTAGAAGGAAAATTATTCTCGGTGATAAAACCTTTTTTTATAGGATAAAGATGACAAACGAGCACTCAGTCCACCTGATGGTAAGTGGATTCTGTAGCCCATGGACACTTACATCTATCCTCGATTAAAAACTAAAATGCAGGAGCGTTGTTATCCCTCAAGACTAAGTTGGAATACCTCGCTTCGAGTAAAGTAGGGTCTCCGGTTCTTTACACTCATCATACGAAACGCAGTAGCATTAAGCAACTATTTTTGTCTGTTTATTTTCAGATCGAATTACTGCAGTATGGT